AGAAATGGCGACTCAATGGAAAGCGGAGCGTATGTTGGTTAGATAACCTGACGTGACAAACGGATGATGACCGCTCAAGCTTTGAGCATCTTATTAGGAGAGGATAGGCTTCAGCATAGTTATAAATTAAAAAGAAAACGAGCCTGCATGTCGCATTTGATACGTAACATCGTATGTCACTACTGTAATAATCACTCGATTTATCTATCATCTGATGGCCACCTCCCAATTCCCTGGCTTCCTCTTACCTATTTCCGTCCCTTTGCAAGAAATCACTTTCAGGAATTACAGCAAAGCGAGAGTAAAGATATAACACATCAAAAAGACTTCCAACAATACCGTCCATTCTACTCTGCTGTCCTCAAGTCCCCATGGAAGCCTATGGAGGCCTAATGGATGTATCTAAATACCTCATACAGTGTTCCATCCTACCATCCTTCAATAGTATTTCGAAACACATCCGCCTATCTATTGGTTTCTATCGCCATGGTATCCTGCCGTAATGTCTTTGCATTGTAAACTTCTCTTCTAAGTATTAGGTAATCAATCATATAATAAATAAATTCCAACAGCCGTATTCTCAAAACCTGTATTTAATATTACATTCAGGCCACCATTGTCAAGCGGCGGCGGGCATTGCTTATGTGCAAATTTGTTGGTACGTTTACTGATTTCAATGCACGTTGCATTGTGAAATTATTGCTAATTATATATTCATATTCATTCAAAAGTGACGTCATTGAATAACGTTCTATAGTCTCTGATTATTTTTTAAGTTGATCAAAAAGTTGTTGACATATTTACGTTTAGCTTTGATTAGTTAAATAAATTGACCGACAGAGGCGAGGCCGGCCTTTGAGTGTTACCCCCAAAGGTACTGGGGTTGGGTCGCCGGTCTAACCGTCATTCTCAGCTATGTAAATTTTAATTATGAATAACATTAATTTTGTCATAATGATTTATTGTATATGTTTACAAAATATTTGTTCCTTAACCGTACGTACGTATGTACGTACGGTTACGGAACAAATATTTTGTTTTGTTCTAAAATACATTCATAGATGTATATCTATGAATGTATTTTAGAACAAAACATGCACTTACCTGTGGTATGATATTTCTTAATCTTTATTTACCTTTTTGTCGTAATTTGTGCACTTTCGGAATACACAGGAAGGCATTTTATGAATTTTTTCGAATTAATTAGTACGTGCGCTCGCTCGCAGTGGTCCTAATTAGGACCCACGCGTTTCGTGCGTTGGTGGCGTACTACCTCTTGTTTGTATATAATATCATTGGTATTGTCATATTTTTTATTGTCTGTTTGGTAATTTTTTACCAGTTCCGTTTTTTCTTTTTCTAACTTATGAACAAGACGTTTTAATGATTGAATGTAAAAAACAAAATTAAAGTATAAAAATATGTATTTCTGCTTATTTAAAAATTGAGTAAGGTAAGACTTTTTTGTTAAGATAATTCCAAAAAAATACCACGTTCTGTTTAATGTAAAACATATTGACAAGATATAAAAATCCCAGATGTCTTAAATGTTAATTTACACTTGCGGTTCTCTACAGAATAAACAGAGGGTATTACTTAGAAGGCAAACATACGTAAACTAAGTAAAAAAGAACGTATGTGTCGTGAAAGTGTCGACCCAGTTCGTCACATCCGATCTCTATCGAAAGGAAAAGTCGATAATTATGTGTGAATTAACAGCACTACTGAGCTATGCGGCATGTCATTTATTTCTAAACAGTACTTTGTCTTCGCTAGCTGTAGAGAAACTTGTTTTTATTTAAGTTTCTAAACTAAAGCATTGAACTCGAGTATGTAAACAAAGGCTGAACGGATGAGGACTAGATGTAGCATTAAAATAACCGAAATTATGTCCGTGTGGTGACGGATTAAGAATACAGAGTGTCACCACCCCCATTCATCCCGTGGGTGTCGTAAGAGCCGACTAAGGGAGCTAAGTCTGTAGGATAACAGCACTGCAAAGAGAAGGAAAAGTTGAAACAAACCTGTCAATATACCAACCCGTCTAGCCAGCTTGGTATATTAGGTCAATACCTCCTTTCTAATGAGAGGCCTATGTCCAGCAGTGGACTATTAAAGGCTGTGGATGTGTCGATGGAAATCCTCAATATTACATATTTTTGTTAAAAAGACAAGTATTATATTTACTATTTATTTATATACCATAGCGCAGGACCCAGCCTAGTTTGGGATCAGACGATCGTGTGTGAGATGTGTGAAGCTGTTATTGTTATTATATTGGTTAGAACCCAGCAATGGCTTTTATTTTTATCAGCTTTTTAGCACTTTCAAATAGAGATTTTTAAATACATACGTATTATCAATGATATTTTAAGGAAGATACGGTATCTTCATACTGGAAGCACAAAATATTTGTTCCGTAACGCTATACGAATACATACATAAAAATAAAAAAATAAAAAAAAACAACATAAAAATCATACGCTACAAGTGCAATAGGCAATAGGGAAAGCATGAGTGAAAGAGACGTCTATTTGTAATCAGTACAACGATTTTTTACACGCTTTATATTAGCTTCACTTGTATGTTTGTTTGTTTGTAACCGACTCCTTTGGGCGTGATTTTGACTGACTTTAAACGGTTAGAATTCGTTCAAACTTTTGTATATCGAGGACCGATGACAATGCACTAATTAAAAAAAAATATAAAAAAAAAATTGTTTTGTGCAGCTAGTGGGGTGCTTTTTACTATTGACAACAGGCACCCAACGCTTTTTTTCAAATTTATTTTCTATTTTTTAGTTTGGTTTTCTATAGAAAGCGTGTTTTTAGTTTTTTAAAACTATAATTTTTTTCGAATTAATTAGTAAGTGCGTCCAGTCACAACAAATTATCATACGTATCACACAATTATTCGTCCTGGGTGCAGCAGTCAGGGTCACTAACCACTAGACCAATAAGCATATCTCAATATCAACTGAAGTTGTGACTAACAAAATCACAGTCAATTTTGCAGAATTGTTCTTTTAATATTTTTTTATTTTCAACCTGTATTGTCCCACTGCAGGACAATGGCCTCTCTCTCACCCTTCCACATCTCTCCGTCGTGTGCTAGTTCGAACCAGTCTTTTTGGAAGCCGTCTAGATCTTCCCGCCATCGTCGCCTAGGCCTATTAGGTTCTCATTTAGCACCTAGTGGGACCCAAGTTGGGCTAACTTTTGTCCATAGATCTTTCCCGGGCCAAATCCAACTTGATTGCGGCGGCTTTATGTGTGATTTGTTTGTGTTTTGGACACCTGCGATTTGTTTGTGTTTTGGTTGTTTTAAATACCTTTCATTTCATATAATCAAAATGTTTTTGATTTGTAGCAAAATACCAACAATTGTTGGTATTTTGCTACAAATCTTAACAATAAGAATGCGAAGCAATAACATGAGTTTAATGATCAACATCCGTACTCAACACTGACCTATAGCTACATTGCATGCGTTTGAATAATTAAGTACTATGACCATTCATATATTCTCTTTCACTCAGTATGCCCAATAATTTCTCTTTGTGAACACTCGATTTTATAACCGTAAGAAATGAGAGTGGACAATGTGTACACGCTATCACTGTACTAATTAAAAAGTAATTGCTTTTATACAGAAATAAATAATTGGTAATGGTTTGGTATGATTAAAGCCTTAATACTTTTTTAGAAGTAATACACAGCATGCTTTGGCCATACCTCGATCTATTAAACCACCGTTAGGTAATCAAAGTTGTCAATGAGGTAGTCCGCGTAACTGGATTTCACAGCGAAGACCTTTAAAATGTTTGGTAGTTTGGAAATCTCGTAGCCTCGTGACGTGGTAACCAAGTAGGTTAGCACATTGCAAGGTTAAGCAATCCTAGCCAGGTCAGTTTATTTATCGGTTACCATTCTTAACACATTGAGACCCCTCCGTGCCACATCTGTGGCGACTGCCCGTTGAAGTCCTAAAATATAAAATAGTCTATCTACAGTCATTACATCTACAGCACATGGGTGTGCAGGTCCGATGACAGTCGCTCCACGTAAAAAATCGAAGTTCCGACGTATCGTAGTACACTCAAAGTCGACCCCCAACCTAGTTTGGCAAAAAGGGTCGGAGGATAGTCTCGATAGAAATCCTCAAGGATCGTATCATACCGGGCAAGGTAGTGTCTTCGCGCTCCAAGTGTATATTTGAAGGAATTCCTTATAATCCCTGATAAACCTAAAGCCTGTTCAACAATGGTGACACTGCGGTATCGCGCCGAGAGGGTCAGTTTCTCCCTTTGATTGAGAGACATGAACACTATCCAGTACTCGTATTTGGCACTCATGTATGCGGAACAATAACTTAATTTTAAATTGTATATAAAAACTCACAAATAGCCATTGTTAATGACAGTAGAGATTCTCTCTCCCCATTTTTTGTTCACGTGCTCTGGTTTTTGACCCAGAAATCTTAGACTGAAAGTGTTCCTTTCATATTATAGTCATTAGCAGTGAATAATATAAACTTTTTTCCTAACTAACTTAATAAATGCTACTTAATTTGTATTTTTAACAAATTATAACTTTTTATAAAAAAAATGTATTTTTTGGCGTCTGTCACCTAAGGGGCTTTCTCAGCCTTACGGCAAGTAATAATTTTTTTGACGTTATTATAAAGTGTGATGAAAAGAGAATATCTGGAAAATGATAATAGGTGTATTTGTAGCTTTCGTTATCATTTCGTTTTCGTCATTCTACATAGTGCTTTCACTTTTATTTAATTAAGTAGATTACATTATTTACTAACACAACATTATTTGTAGTATGAAGTAGATTTCGCTGACGATCTTGAAAGTATACGTAGTTATCTTGGTTATTTAAATAGGTAAATATATACACTTGACAACAAAACTTTACGTTTAAAATCTTGAGTCACGCTATACACATCTGTTAACATGAAACTGAAACCGAACCCTATTTTATTGTCCACAGGAAAGCACCTAGTCTTCTCTACCGACCCTGAATCTGTTAAAGATGAGTTTGCATTCGACAACCCTGGATTCAGGAATGAGGAGCGACATGCTTGGCAGCATGAGGCACCTACTTTGCCGCTGACAGGCAAAGGTCAACCGGGACTGCATGTGGAGTTTACTAAGCCTGAGCAGAGTAAAGATGATTCGCATCTACAGGTGAGTGGAAATATGAGTTTGATTTCGTGTCAGTGGAACTTTAATTAGACTTTATAGAGAGAGAGAGAGATATGCAGATTCCTAATTTCATGAGAATTTTTATTTTATTTTAATAAAGAAAAGATATCCTGTGTCACATTGACAAACATTCATTTAAACGGACACAAAGAACACCCAGACTCAAAACAACATCATGTGTCATCATGTGTCAAAGTGCTGTCCTATGTGGGTATCGAACCTACAAAACTCAGCCTAGTATGAATCGGCAAGATGACCATTTAAACCACTTTGCCATCCGTTCAGCATTACTTTTATGATGATATGTTGCCTTGTGTGACAACTCCTATTCGTCCAGTGGGTGTCTTAAGAGCCGACTAAGGAAACAAACTATTCAGGACAACCGCATTGCAAAAAGAAAAGGAAACGAACCCTATACCAACCCGTCCAGCCAACGTAGGCCAAAACCTCCTTTCTAAGGAGAGGTCTATATCCAGCCAGTGGACTACTAAAGGATGTTGTTGTTTGTCGTTGTTTTTAATCTATAAAAAATAACTTTTACCGTTATTTTAAATTTCTATTTAAAATAATGCGTACCACAATTATCTAACCGTTAATTTTTTTTGCCAATTAGATAAAAACACTTGTTGGTATTACAATCCAAGTTTTGTATTTCCGTTTTATGCATTTCGTAATCAAAAAATCATATATTTGTTGTTTCAAAGAGAATATAAAATATTAATTGTAGGATGTTACACAATGTTTTAGATAGTGCACTAGTTACAAAATATATATTATGTTAAATGCAGAGGTAGAATTAAAAGTATCGGTATTATGCTGGGACCGTAATGTATAGAAAAGATCTCACTCACAAACTGCTTTAACTTTTCACTTAAATGTAACTATTAACTTAAGTAATTTAAAATATCATAAAAATTCATTTATATAGAAATGAAACGAAAAATTAATTATATTTTACATACATATAATTAATTTTTGTATATATTTACGAAAAAAAGTAAATAAGTATTCTATCAGTCTATCTAGCTTTTATAGAACTAAGCGATGGTTAGTTTGAAACTAGATGGCGTTGTGTGTCAGATGGCCGAAATGTACGAGTATTCATTATTTCATAATTTTTACCTTAGGAGTGGTATATTTTCTTTAGTTTGAATGAAAAAAAAAGGATTTCTGTGGTAACAAAGAAAAATAAATACAACCCAATTGAAAATCTCCTCTTTTTTTTGAAGTTGCTTAAAACTTAACTAATTTTATTAAATAAACTACAAATAATTGTAACATGTACTTGATTTAATAAGTATGAAATTGTTGGACTACTACCAACGCTGAATTGTATATCATCATCAGCCTATCGCAGTCCACTGCTGGACATAGGCCTCTCCCATATATAGATATATCTGAATTGTATATAGATGAATTATATTGTAGAAAAATTAAGCCCTAAAAAGAGAGAATAGTTACGAAAGAGAGAGACTACTATAAAGAAAGAGAGACCTGACCCAGCCTCTTTATCAAGGAGGGAAGTCACCTTTTGTGTTAGTTTGTCAGTCAGTGAAGTAGCAGACTCCAAATTAGGCAGGCTTTTACGAAACACACCGTTGAGTAAATAGTATATGTTTCATAACTGTAAATAACACTCAAGAGAATAATTACTCTTATGGTATAGTGATGCTAGAAGCTCCATCACAGTTTTTATCAGCGTTAAATTTAGAATATGTACATACCATTATTTACTTTCGCATACAATGATATAAAATTGTGTATGTGTACAGAAATTGAACCACATGCTTACTGTGCAACCTAGCAACTTTGTTGAAACGTTCGCCAATTCTGTGATATCGACACATTATGTGGTTTCGTGCCGTGGTCAGATGTATCTGTACGGGAATCATCCCGTAATAATGATAATAATCGTAATCGTAATAGTAATAATAATGTTGGTTTATTAACCAAGCTTATTATTACCTTTTTGCGACTCATCTTTGTTTGTGATTCCTTTGCATAATATTTGAGTGACTTGGTGGTGCAGTGGTAGTGTATGCGACTGCTGTGCTGAGGTCTCGGGTTCGATGCCCGGGTCGAACCAAATGTTTGTATGTTCTGAAAATATTTGTTGCTGAGTTTGGGTATTTTCTTGTTATATGTATGTATTTTCAAAAAGTATTTAAGTATACTATCAGTTAATCTAGCTTTCATAGAACAAGCTCTGCTTAGTTTGGAACTAGATGGCGTTGTGTGTCAGATGTCCAAAAAATAATTATTATATTATTTTATGGCAATCAATTTTATGTCTAATATATGTTCCTAAATATTTAAATGTGTCTTAAATATTTGTAAATTGGCGGTATTGCAAACTGTTCTTACGTGTTATTGCAGTGTTTACGTGTTATTATAAATTTATCAATAAATTAATTTGTCATAGACAATTTATTTACCGCGAGTGAAATCAAATCAGATTCGTTGCTGCTCAGTTCACACAAACAAATAAACTCATCTGCTTTCTAAATACTAGTTTCGATGTCTTGAATAAGCTTAAGTGGAAATAAGGAGTCTGACTCTCACCGGGTCACTTTTGACCTTTAGAAGTTTATGTTTGTATTGGAAATGAAAGCTGAAGAACAGTATAGGTAATCCGTAAGTATTAGCTAAATGGTTACCTTAAACCATGAAAACCAAGAGAAAAGAAGAGGCCAAGGGTCTTATATAATTTTATAGATTAAGCGGAGTAGTGGACTAGAAGAAGAATGGATTCCTGTGTTGCGAGTACTTTACGAATATACAAACATCAGACGCCAAGTATATTCAGACTCTAGACAACCTTTTGTCGAGGATACAAATCGAACCCACAACACTCACCGCGGTGTGGTAGCAAGACAACCGTTTTAACTATTGCGTTATTCGTGCAGACAAATCCTATAATATAATAAATAGTATACCAATTTTGTGATGACATTGTGCAATAATAAATTCATTTAATTATCAACAACTACTATTATAAATATGCAATTTTAATTTTAATATAATATTTAATTTAATTAATTTATCTCTATTCAATAGAAGCTAGATAGCTTAAATGAGCAATTAAATATAATTTCTCATTTAAGCTATATCCAAAAGCAGGTAATATTGTACCTATTAAGATGAAATTTTTAAAACTAGCATACCCAAGCAGCTCCTTCTCTCTCCTGCAGTGCTATTCTCTATGCGCTGTACGCATTGTTTCCTTAGAGAACAGCACCGCTGATGGTGCTGTGCCTGACAGGATCCATAATTGTTACCTATTTTTAAGTCTACCACCTTTAAACGTACATTATGAAATGGAATAAATTGAATTGCGTTGAAAAACCGTATATTATAAGATCTGAGAATGAATTTGTTCACATTTGTGCTAGTATCAGCCATCAGTATCTTTTATCCCTGAGATTAGATGCAACATTTTAAAACATTAACGAACTAACTCAAAAACAGCAGTATTAGTTTAGGCACGAACTCATAATTATCTGCCTACCCTTTTTCAAATTTATTTGGGGTCGGTGCAAATTGCCTTCATTCCATTGCGAAATGGTTTTGGCTTTTTCTTTTGAGACCGGCCGCGCGCCTGACGCTAGCCTTCCCTGGGAATGTAATCGTTCTTCCTACATAATCGAAAGGGAATGGGAATTATAAACAACCAGATTTTCTCAAACTTTTCTCAAACCCTTTTTCTGCAGGTCAGCCATTATCACATTAACATTTATTTTCCTTTACCAGACCTTTGTAAACCAGACATTAGTATAGATACGAACTATCTAACAATATTTACTTCCATTAAGATTCGTCAAAAATTGTACCAAATTCTCTAAAGATATATAAAGTAATAGCTGGTACCCGCGACTTCGTTCGCGTGGAATTTGAATAGCGCTGCCTTAGTGGGTTCGATGCCCGGACCGGGCAAAATTTCAAACGGTTTTTCTGAGAGGAAAAATAGCCTAAGTTATTTCTTATGTAGATAGCTACCTGGTGGTAAAATATTATCGAAATCGGTCCAGCCGTTAAGAAGATTACCTGGAACAAACAGACAGACAGACAAAAAAAACTGGTTTTTAGGCATAGGTATCGTGTAAATAACCGTGTGTGAGCATGAAAAAATCTATTATTTTGACATTACAAACAGACACTTATTTATTTGTATAGATAGATAAACTGACTTTTACGACCCAATCACCGTATCTCAATGGGCTCAATCCTGATACAGGTAATTTAGCTCTATTGAAGGGTATATATCTGTGCTCATTTGAATAGGCTCGTCTGTTATAAGTAATCAATTTTGTATTATATTTTAAGTGTAACAGAGTTATTTTTCATAAAGTGCGTTACTGCTCATCAATTACAATTTTAATAACACTTTCGTAATGTGTTTAGTATCTATAAATAGTTTTGAATTTACTTTGTGATATTTCTGCACACTGCTTGATGCGATGCGAAGGTTAAGTACCAGGTACTATGACTGTTATAGGCTCATTTTCTAACCCAGAGGTCGCGAGTCAGATTCCCACCCAGAACAAATAATTGTGTGATGAGCACGATCAATTTTATTGGTCTGTCTGGGTGTATTTATAAATGTATGTATTTAGAAATGAATAAGTACATATGTATATCAGCAGTCTGGTTACTATAACATAGGCTCCACCTGGTTTGAAATCAGACGGTATGAGATGTGTAAGGTTATTATTAATATTTTGTGGATTCGATAAACGTAATAGCACTATTGTGCAATTTACTTCTGCTACAGGATGGAAAACCAATTCCACACTCAATGGTGACTTTTGAATTTAATTCATGTCAATCCTATTAAGATAATATTTTTTTTATATTACATCTACAGATTTTAAACAGAACCAAAACTGGATTAAACAAAACATAAAAAATAAAATACTACATCACATCCATCACACATCAACAGCCTTTAACAGTCCACTGCTGGACATAGGCCTCTCCTTAGA